GCTTTCTTTGACACTCTAAGATATCCCAATTCCGAGCCTAGAAAGTTGCCCATCTTCCTGGACCAATTCCTTGCCACACCTGCACCTGTCGCAGTTGAGCAGGGAAAAATTGATGCCAGAAGTGATTGCCAAAAAACTCTGCCAGAACTCTCGCTTTTGGCACCTAAAAGATATCAGAAGAGACACTAAGCGTTTTTGCTCCTCCCAGAAGAAGCTTAATGATTTAAAATTATTTCAAACTTTAGCCTCTTAACCTGTGGGCCTTGTGGACCATGGAGGGAACTATGGAAGGGACTATGGAAGAAACCAGGGCAATAAGGATATCTTATAGAAGGTGATGTTAGAAACCATGTCAAGGGAAAATTGTTTTTGAAGAAGTAAAGGAACAAAACAATGCACACAGCGAGGACACATCCAGATTCATCAATCTGGGTTTGCACTCAAAGTCGTGAAGTACTTGACCTGAATTGAATTTGTATTGTGGACCGGTGATGAATTCAGTTTTGCTAATAACAAAAACTTGCCATGGATACTTTATACCTATCTGATCCACAGTCTATAGATATAAAAATCTGATTGTGAGATTGGGGTGAACTTATGTTTCGGCCTTTCTTTTGAAGACTAAATCTACTTAGGTAATCTTAGGTGCAAATAAAATTCTACTTAGGCGTCACGAACTGACGCCTAAGTAGAATTCTATTTGCGCCAGATAGATTATGCATTCCAAATTCTAGCCTGGGGCTGTTGGAAGACAAAATTCATAATCTACTTGGGCGCAAAAAGAATTCTGCTTAGGCGTCACGAACTGACGCCTAAGTAGAATTCTATTACTATTTGCGCCTTATTAGACCACGTCTTCCAAATTCTAGTCTGGGGCTGTTGGAAGACATAATTCATAGTCATAGTCTACTTAGGCGCAAATAGAATTCTAGTCTGGGGCTGTTGGAAGACATAATTCATAATCCACTTTGGCGCAAAAAGAATTCTGCTTAGGCGTCACGTCACGAACTGACGCCTAAGTAGAATTCTATTACTATTTGCGCCTAATTAGACCATGTCTTCCAAATTCTAGTCTGGGGCTGTTGGAAGACATAATTTATATTCATAATCTACTTATGCGCAAATAGAAATCTAGTCTGGGGCTGTTGGAAAACATAATCCATAATCTACTTAGGCGCAAATAGAATTTTGCTTAGGCGTCACAAACTGACGCCTAAGTAGAATTCTATGTGCGCTAAGTAGATTATGCATTCCAAATTCTAGTCTGGGGCTGGCATTTGGGTGAAAATATGGTTTGTTTTTTCTTCAAGATGGGAGACATACTCAGGCGACAGAAACAAACGCCGAAGTGGAATTCTATTTGCAGCTAATTATTTTTTTAGTGTGAGACTGGGCTAAATTCAGCTTTGATTACTTAACAACCTTGCCCCAAATACTTGAAACCTTGAATAAATACACAACCCGCATACAGATAGTGGGTTTAATTTATGGAGAAATACTTAGGTGGAAGGAACAGGCGCTGAAGTCGAATTCTATCAATATGTAATTTCAATTATTTGGAAGGCAGTCATGTGTGTTTGGGCGCGCTGAGCTGGCTTCTGCAATGTGTTCAGGCTGTTGGGATTCTGTGACTTCGCTTTCCAAAAAAGAACAAAGGCAATGCTGGTTGTTGGCTGCATTCCCATTGCTGTCTTTTTCCCCACCAGTTCTGGACTGGATCAAAAATATGCAGTAGCGGTAGCAGTGCAACATCCAGGCTATATTGTTGGTATTTTGTCACTCTGGCAAGACTGTTGCTACTACCGTGCTACTACCCATACAAGAAACAAACTATATTGTATATAGCTGCCGATAATTTCTTGGACCATGATTTGATACTTTTCAGAATATATATATATATATAGCGCTAGCGGTGGGGTTCTTGAGGGTGATGATGGGTTACTTTCAGGTTGGGACTAATGCATCCGGAATGGCTCAACCTTGTCCGTGCCTTCCTATTCCCGGGATTCTTCGCACAGAGAACCAATTTACGTGACAATTTTCTTAGCGCAGAGGTCTCCAGAACGGTTCGGAACGGTTCTGCAGACCTCCAGAACGGTTCGGAACGGTTCTGCACACCTCAACTTTGCACGGAGATATTTCTCCACAGCTTCCAAACCCCCCAAAAAAAACGGTCAAGAGCAGTTCCTCCTGTTTCGCATTTTCAAAACCTTCCAAAGAGCCGCCCTGTGGCTCCAAGGGCCAAGGCTACAAGGAAGTCAGAAAAACGACAAAGGGGAGGCAACTTCTCCGCCTAAGTCTTTGAACAAGCAGTGCAAAGGCATGCTGAGCACAAGGGAGAAGGTGAAACTGGATGTAGACTACAAAAGGCTGGAAGTTTCTCAGCTGTTTGTTCATGGAAGGCGTGGCCCCTTTCAAAATCTTACCTGTCTTGAAAACTGTTCTGTGGAATCTTTTCTAACAAAATCATACAACTGTGTAGTTTGTATTGAAATATCCGTTTGAAAGTATCGCTTGTGTCGAATCATCATTGCTTATGGTACTAGTATGCGTTTATTTGTTCAAACTTTATGTATTAAAGTTAAATAATTATATAGTCAAAATATGCTATTATACAAGTTAACATATGCTATTATATGGAGGTCCCCGGAACCGTTCCGAACCGTTCTGGGGTCTATAGGCTTTGAATCCAGAACCGTTCCGGAACCGTTCTAAATAGTTCTAAATAGTTCTGAGGTTTTGGAAGTATCCGGAACCGTTCCGAACCGTTCTGGGGATATCTCCGGAACCGTTCCGAACCGTTCTGCAAACCCCAAATAATGGCTTATATGTTAACTTACTTTTATACTTGTATATAACTTGATAAAACCAAATATACACACTTGTAGCTTATAGCTACTTTGTAAAATACAACTCATAATCCATAACTCTTGACTATCAAACTTCAATAAATCAATTTATAAAGTTTAGGAACTGTTTTAAAATTGAAACACATTGTTATAACACTTAGAGCTTCTAGTTATGACTTGACACTAAAAACTGTGTAACTTATAACTTTGTAACCTTTTAACTTTGAACCTTTAACTTCTAACATAACTTTGACTTTACTTCTCGATTTGACTTCAACTGTTTAACTTTATAAGTATATTTTTGATGTTTGCTTTACTTTACTTGCTTTGTATTTATGATTTATATAAGACTGTTTGAGTTTTTAGATGAATTATATGTTCTTGTTTGTTCGTGTATGTTTCAAAGTTTGGAAGTATATCGACGGGGGTTGTTTGTATAAAATGCAACAATAAAGTTTAAGCGTTGTATTTGGATAAAATGACATATCTATAATGATTGTAATCTGTTACTGCAACACTGCTACGGACCAATGCACAACAACGTAGCGACAGAAATTCAGTAACACATCTTTGATCTGCTACAAATACGTAGGATATCGTAGGATTCCGTTTGCAGTTGATAAATTTGTTTCACCATGGTTTACCTAAGTTTTACCGTGGTCTTCGCAGCACCGAAAACAATACTTAAAAACTGTGGATTTGCATTTGCAGTTCATCCATGCACATGAGCACACAGCCATACATACACTCATCAATGCACTAGTTAACCAATTTTACAGTATACAGGGTCACATCGTAATATTGTTTTTATGAGTTGTTTTTCTAGTTGGAGCTTGCGCACATGCATTCTTTGGTGTTCTCCTTTTTGAAGAAATATGGGGCCCCGAATTACACAGATGTTGTATATTGTTGTATACGGTTTTCCTTTCCAACTTACGGACCAATATTTTCAAATACGAAGTTTGTATGTAACATCTAACTTGATGTTGAAAGGTTTTTTGTCCAAGAACTTGGAGCAATGCGTTTTTCTTTCAAAGTGGTGGGTTTCTTCATTGGGTGACATTTTTAGTGGAAACACCCCTTATTTCCATGGATTGCTACATAGTTCTTTCCATAGTTCTTTCCCTGGACATATGAAATCAACAGGAATCCAAATTTAAGAGACTAAGGTTTGAAATAATTTAAACATATTTAAACTAGTGACCCAGAATGATCCGAACACATTTTGCCACTGCAGATTTGTCACCTGGTCATGTCATAGCCCTACCTCCCAGCACAAATCTGATCCTAGATAGTACAATTGTCCTGAACCCTCGAACGGCTGTTAGCGCCGCACCAGAAATCCGCAATCACAAATGAATGCAAGAAAATTGAGGGATGCAACCTGCCTGAGACTCCATACTCCAGAGTGATGCAGAATGCACCTGAGCTGCGTGGCCGTTGTGAGATTACAGCGGAGGTTGAGAGCTTGAGATTCCTAGCATTCAAAACCGCTCTTGCACGCTATTGGTACATTATGATGTGTATTGATTTGCTATATCGGGTATATCTATCGCTCTGTCTCTTGCTCCTTTGATGGCTCCAGATCTTATTGTGACTTTTGCTTAGACCCTCGCATACGATGCTGTCTAGGAATGCTGGAAATGTGATTGGACCCCCTCATATCCCTGCATCTTGGATGCCTTGGAGCAGACTGTACCTGCGTAATTAGGGAGGGCAAAAAACCTCTGTCCGCGATTTGAAAGGGGAGGGCCCGGGAGGGCCAAGATTCTACCCCAGCACCACTTGGATGGCTCAGGCGCCTATGACAGCCCAGAGCTCTCCAAGGCCGTGATAAGAAAATGTGTAGCAGGAGCCTCTGGTGGGAAGTCTTGCCTCAGATTCATACTGTGTCAGGCAGCGTGCATTGTCAGAAGATTTCTGACGGTATTTCAGAGACATGTGCTGCATGGCAAACTGACTCTCAGGAAATCTGTTGGCAGCAAGGTCTTTAGGTTGTGCAAAATGATAGGAGGGCCAGGGCTATCATAGAAGAATCTTTTATGCATCTTCTTTGATATTCTTGGTCTAAGGATGCCGCTGAGAGCTCCATGTATGCGAAGCCGCTCAGGAGACAGGCCGCACCAGCGAAAATCCAACTCAAACTAGCTGAAGGACCTGCAAATTCGCATAGTTCACATTAGTTCACCAAGGGCACCCCTTGGATTTTGGGAAGAACATCTCATGGTGTGATCTCCAGGTGACCAAAGTTGGCAGGGGTTGAATCCTATCTTAGGGGTTGGCTTCCAATGGTGTTTGATTCACTTGGCATGTCCCGAAAATGGCAGTCCACTGCAGTGAACAAGACAAGACGTGGACTTTGGAGGGCCCAGCGAAATGAAAACCCTCTTCTCAAAAAGGAGCAGGATATGCTTGAAGTTGCTTGAAGCATGGATTTCTAATGTATTCTACATATATATATATATATATGTATGTATTATATTATGATTATAAATGTACGCAAACATAGTGTATGTCTTATCTGTGCACGGCGTATGTGCATACACATGTACTATATATATTGCATGCGTGGTTGCAATGAATCTAATCTATATATATATATATTTCATAATTATACAGTATTGTATTTGTACACATGCCCATGCCATGCATCGGATTATATTTACATAAATTATTATAATGATGCCTGTGGTTCAATCGTATGCCGCCAGAATCAGAACAGCCTGCAAGAATCACACGACTTGAAATAGAATGCTCTGGCATTGCTCTGGCCAAGTACCCGATTCATCCCAGAATATTAATGTTGGCTACCTAATAATGAAACCCACCCCCCTAATTTTTTGAAAAAAAAACATTTTTTTAGGGGGGTCAGCATTCCAATAGTAAATTCCTGGAACCCTATGACTGGGATCTGTCTCGATACTATACCATGCCCTCTGGACAAGGTCAGAACAATAGTTTTTTGGCAATACTAAAATTAAATTAAGCTAATTGACTTTTAGTATTGGAGATAACACTGGAGTTGGGAAAAAAGGTTTCTACTATTGCCAAGATATCACTATTGGCTAGACAACATTACCTCGTTAATTGAATTGAAGATTGAGCATGATTCAGCTATGTTGAACTGTTGAGCAAGCCATGGAGATCGGCTATATATTGTCAAACCTGGCAACCCTTCAGCCGCAACCTGCAACAGGTAGTACATCCCCTGTGAGGACGAAAACACCAGAGCCCACCGTGGAGCCCACTCCAATGCAGAGCAAATCAATCAAACTCAGCCTAGCAAATGCTGGTTTCATGCTGGTTGCGACTTGTTTGATTTGTTTGCAATTGCATTACAAATCTCAATGTCAACAAAGAATGCACATCATTTATGGACATTTATGGGGCACATGCATGCATATGCCACTTGGCGCGCCAAAGACTTCTACAATGTGGTTCAAGCCGCTCTCAACCAGGCATCCAAATTCAACAAATCTAGCTGGCTGTCTGCAGTTGCAAGGAGAGGCCATTTCCGTCCGTCTGTTGGTCTATCTGTCTACCTGAGAACTGAACTCGGTCCATTCATAAACGACTGTGTCCTTGCTGATGCCGAGGCGCTTTGTCTCTGAAGGTGGTTCATGTTCCATTTCAGCGATGACCGCATCCTTAGTGTGCGCTGATCAATGTCAATGCTATATTATCATGCTATGCATTTGCTCAGGCAGGCAGACTTCTGCAAGCGTAACTCAATGGCAGCCTTCCCAATCACTCCCGAAAAACTATGAATTGTAGCAAACCTGCATGCATAGAGTCGAATGACAACGCGCCAATACAAAGGACCCTTGACAAGGTGCTTGCGTGACGACATCGTTCTTTTGATCATCAGTTGATCCCACAAAAATTCTGTCTGACTGCCAACAATGAAACAATTGACAATGGAAGACTTAAGGACCGGGACAAGAGAACGATCGATGTGGTTAGGAATCCCTGATCCAAACTGAAGCACACTGCTGGCATTATCTTCATGAAAGTGGCCATTGTTTTTCTTCGATTTGCAGCAGCAAAGCAGCAGCGTCGCGTAGTGTCTACTTTGGGCGTCTTGCACAGCTCGCCTCAGGCGGGAGATTCAAAAACCAGGTGACGAGCCACTTGATGCTACTTGTACATTTCTGCTTTTGAGACTTCCATTCCCATGGGATTCTAAGATATCAATCTTTGGTAAAACTGGGCATCGCTCTTTGGTAAAGCTGGGGCCTTCAGAATCTGAAGACTCCTCCTCTGCGCTGTCCGCGCTGTCATTGTTGTAGTCATGGTCTGCCATGGCGCGCAGGTTCCCTTGCTTGAGCTACCACCCAGTTGGCTGCCGGAAAAATTACCAAAATGATGCAACATGTTTTTGAATCTGAGCCGATTCTGGACAAGGAATCCTTTTTTCGCGGCATCTCTTTGGGCAATGCCCGTAAACACAATAAGCACAATACCAGTAAAAAAATGTATATACGCTTTGAATTTCATAGGTGGGCTGGGTCGATTTTGAAGGTCAGTCTGTGCTTTTCTCTCCGAAACAAATGAGTTTGCTGCCTAGTGCCTGCTGTCTTTGTACAGCGAGGCCCCTTGGAGCTCAAAACCGAAATTGAAAAAAAACTAGCCGGGGACGAAATGACAAACTCTTTGGAGTGCAAAAGAACGTGGTCGAGTAATTACACAAAAACATAAAAAAAACAGTAAGACACAAGAGGTTTGTCTGTCTGCTGTTGCACAGAAGATCTACCACCAAGGCCGAAGGCCAAACAAGTTAGTATGTCGTCCCCAGTTCTGCTGCAGAAACACGACCAAGCCCGGACTCCAAGAGAGTAAAAGAGCGAATTTGCAATCGCAGAAAGTATCAGAAAATAGGAACCCTGCAAATGACTGTCCTCCAAATTTCTACTGAAAAATTGTTTAGAATTCTGGACAGAACGAGTGTCTGACTTGGAATCCCAGTCCACTCTCCGTCACTGGTTTCCAGTGAAAGAATTCTCGTCTCTGGCTAAATACCTTTCCTTCATCTTCCATCTAAACGTAATTACAGCGTAGCCATGTAGCGAAAGTTGTGAGCGCTCTTGGTGTTGGCACTTCACATCAAAAAGATGCTTAATACTTAATTGTGTTTCTGATTTTCTGAACTGGGTCAAATCAGTTTGTGAGTGGGCGTTTGTGGAAATCTGAGTTTGATGGGTTTTCGTCGACATTTTGCTTTGAATGGCATCAGAATATGACAAATGGTGAGGGTGTTTGAGGCAGAAAGCATGGCCACACCTTCCGATCCACTAGTCGAATTCAGTCGATCAAAATGAGTTGGAACCTGCTGCTTGGCAGCAGCCCACCTCTCTGGCGCTCGGGCACAAACCCCACGCCCTGAAGTTTTGCAAAGGACTGCACCACCTGAAGTTTTTCTGAGACTGTTTGGAACGGTTGCATATCTATCTATCTATCTATCTTATCCTATCCTATCCTATCCTGTCCTGTCCTATCCTATCCTATCCTATCCTATCTATCTATCTACCTAATCTTATCCTATCCATCTATCTATCTAATCTTATCCTATCTTATCCTATCTTATCCTATCTTTTCCTATCTATCTTATCCTATCTATCTATCTATCTATCTATCTATCCATCTATCTATCTATCCATCTATACATCTATCTATCTTATCTTATCTTATCTTATCCTATCCTATCTATCTATCTATCTATCCATCTAATCTTATCCTATCTATCTATCTAATCATATCCTATCTAATCATATCCTATCTAATCTTATCCTATCTATCTATCTGTCTGTCTGTCTGTCTGTCTATCTATCATTATCTATCATTATCTATCATTATCTATCATTATCTATCATTATCTATCTATTATATAAAATATATAATACATAATTAGCAAGTCATGTTTGCAATCTTTATGGCCCTCAGCTTTGGCAACTTGTTTTTCACCTCTTCTCCAATCTTCCCACACATGGCGGAACAAGACTTGGAGTTCCACTGGAGGGAACGCATGTCGATTGTGAGCTTCCTGGCGATGGCATGCAAAAAGGAAATCAACCGCCAATATCCGCCAAGCAAACGTCACCTATGACGAGCTTGGAATGTCCAAAAATTTTGAAGATTCTATGGAAATGCTTCTCAAGAGTTTGTGCAAGCTTTTAGACAAACTGTCTGTCACGATCTGTGTGTCCTGCTGCAATGGGTAATCGCAAATGTCGCGGCTATGAGAGTTATTCTACATATAATTCTTGCCAATGCAGTGGATGTCTAGGAGATCTGTTTGTGAGTCAAGAGTTGCCAGCTCCGTGTGACTCTAATAATTTGACTTTGTTTTGGTAAGATCAGCAGATTACAACTTGCAACTCCACACACTGCCGCCCAAAACGTCTCCGAAAACTCAAAGCCTGCATGACCAATCACATCCTACAACCCTAGGTTCATGTTGGTCTGTAGCTGACTTTCGCAGTTGCTACTGCCATCTACCGCCATCTACTACCATCTACTGCCATCTACTACCATCTACTGCCATCCACTGCCTGCATACTGAAAATCAATAACACACTACTATATAGACAGAAAGGAAAATGACAGAGAAAACACTCAGTCAGTCTCGTTGTGGGACCTCCTCTGCGCGTCAATAGAACATAAAAGAACCAGGTGGAGTCTCATGGGAATTGGATGTTGGCAGATTAATTTGGATTAATTTGGCAGATCTGTTGGGCTCAACCTCCACCCGGATGTCATCCCTGGCATCCCCTCCGAAAGGGGCGCCCTCGGCGCTCACGCCCCGTCCTCGTGTCCAAACACTGCGGCAGCTACCAGCAGTGCCTGGGCGACTGCCTCGGGCGGTTTCGGCTGAGACCACGGCTAGAAGGTAATGCATAGGTAAAGCCTAGGTAAAGCGGTAAAGCCATATGAAGTTAGCCAAAGTTTCTGTTAAAGATATTTATAGAGTAATTGGATCAATAATTACTCAGGAATGAGGACCAGCAAGATCATATCATGAATGAAATCACAGCAACTGCGGTTTCAAGGATAAAAGATGTGGGGAGCTGGTACTCCATTGGTGCCGAGGTGCTCCCAAAGTAAGCCGTTGTGGAGTCTTCTCCTGCAACGTTATATACAATATTGGCAAAATGTGGTCCAAAACTTGATGCAGGGAGCGTCGGACGTCGGTAGGGAAAATGTGCATCAAGAAATAGGTGACTTATGAATAAAGAAAGTGCACAAACATAAACTATATACTATGCGGTACGATATGTGTGTGTGGGCATGGATAATAATAATAATTAATCGGATATGTCATACATACACGTTCTTACCTCATTGTGGACATTTCGGGACGTTGCTGATGCTTTGACACGCACAAGCTCGCAAACCCTTTGACATGCACATCCAAAGCAATAAGCAAACGCTGCAGGGCGACACCTTGGCGTTCATGAATCAGCTGTCGAACAGTCTGCCTGTGCACGTCCAATAACCACGACTTGCTTTCCTTGCAATTTGTCGCTTGGCCTTACACTGCCTTAAGTGTAGAACATACCTGTGTACACTGATAGGTCTTTTTTTTATCTAAAAGTCGTCAGCTCTCCCCGGGCCCCAGGTTAGTTGTTCACCAAATGCCTGATGCACTGCTCCCGAGTGACCTCTGCAGTTGCTCGGTTTGTGTTTTCCGCAAGGAACCTCACCACGTGGAGCCATCAATCTGTTTCTGCCACTGTCGCAAATGTCTTTGAGGGAAGTGACAGAAAAGGGTCGCTTTTACTTTGATATGCACAGCTGAGGCACAATGAGTGAAAACTATGAAAGTAGTTGAGGAAAATGAATGAGTGAATGAATCTGCCAACGACCAACTATAAACAACAATCTTTCCTCTTGTTCCAGATATAGACACCGGTCAGCTTCTTGAGATCCGAAGGAATCAAACGTATATATATATAAATAAATATGCGGTAACTACATCTAAACATAAATTTTCAATATACGAACGTATACGAGCTGGTATTTGAGACTGCTTCCGGGAAGATTTTCCTTGGCCCGCCCAGCCATTTAAACATACGGAATCCATTTTGTTTAAACATACATTATACAGATGGAACTTGTGTTTCATACTACCACCGTGGCCTTGTGGTCTGGCCGGCCCTCCATATGTTTATATAAATGTACCGTGTATATATATATATATATGATAAACTTAAATAAATATATATATATATACCGATGGCTTCCATATCCTGGAAAAAAGTGGGTTGCGGGACAAAAAAACATTTTTTTTTGAGCCAACACCCAGAAAAAAAGCGGATTTTGGTGCCGAAAACCTGCTGTTGGAGGAAAAGCTGGTTTTGCTAACCCGTCGAAAGTAAAAAACACGTAAATATATATATATATATATATCCCGTAAAAACCCGTCAACAACCCAGCGTCAAAGCCGCCGACGATGCAGCCAAAGGAAAACATAGGAAAACCAGGTTTTCACTCTGAAAAGTGGGAAATTTTGCAAAGCCCTCTTTTTCTTGGGATATGGAAGCTCAAGGTGTGTATATATATATAATTATATATAGCGAGAGAGAGAGAGAGAGAGATGAACAGGATTCCGAATAATATTGTCTTCATACGCCTTGATGCAATACAATTTCCCTCTGTTTCCATAAGATTCCTGATGTCTCTTAGTGCTTGGGGCTGGTTCCATCGAATGACCCAAAGTCCATCTACCGAGTAGCTACGCCCCATGGGTGTTCTGGCTTGCGTGTACCGCAAGGGAGGCTCACTCTCATGCAGTTTCCAAATCTTCAAAGCTTCCATGGCTTCCTGCTGCCGGGGCCAGTGAACATCGTTGGGGGACATGGGTCCACCTGAATCAGGATGAAACTTGTACTCACTTCGGGGCTCAGCATGACTTTGCGCTGCAGCCAACCTACAAACACATGTTGAAGTCCAAACAGCACTACCCCCCGAGGTATTGAAATCCACTGGGCCAAAATGGGTGAGCTCTGGCAATGGGTCAGCTCTGGCATGTGAAACCTCCAACGTTTCAAGTCACAGCACATTGCGTTTGAACAAAGCACTCAATAGGTGCATGTGCTGTTCCATTAATGGCCGGAAAGCAGCGAACAGTATTCAATGAAAACTGGGCAGTAGCATCAGTAGCCCATTAGAACCACAACCCGGCTCCCTGCCGCTGTTGGCTGCGTCCCTTACTTTTTCATCCCCAGGCTTTCTTCATGGCAGGTGCGAGATGTGACTTCACATAAACCGTGCTCCTTAGTGTCAGCAGCTGCCCATGAAAAGACTATGACGGATCGCCGGTCAATGGCAGTAAGATATCTATATATTGATATATGCATATATATATATATTAACATTTTAACATATATTGACAAATTTACATATAATTATACATATGTATATTTATATATATAATATATTAACATATAATATATATATATATAATATATAATATAATACGTGGAAATATATAGATAGAGGGTTGCATGGCTTCACTACGTTTCACCATGTTTCACCTGTATCTTTTTGCCATCCAAGGGGCATGTGGATCCCATCCAGGCGCAGCTCAGGAAGCAGTTCCAGCTTGGCCAGGGTCAGTGCATCGGTATTTTCTGGATGTTCTGGCACGTCCTTTACAAAGATGCCTTTGTGGCAAGGTCTGGCGGTTTTCCCAACTGCTTGCAGTGTCTCAAAAATGGATGCGAAAACATGGACTATCATCACCGTGGGCTTGGCTTCAATGACGTTTGCACAAAAACTGATGAAACAAGTCCAACTAAGTCCAACTATACACTCAACTAAATCATCTATTCGATATTTGTCTATGTGAATCTTATGGATCCTGAAGGGAATGGTTTTGCCACAAATCACTGCAATATATTGCAATGTGGATCGTCTATTCGCGAGGCAGCTCAACGCCGAGCAGCTTTCAACCCTTAAAAGTTTCACCCTCGCCTGGAGCGCTGCAGGAATCCCCATGGTCACTATGGAGTCACTACGGCATCTTCTCAAAATTTTTCATATTTTCCCAAAAGAATAAGAAACTACGGATCCGGTGGATCTACGGACCTGTCATCCTTGAGACATTGAAATCAGTTCTAAAGCTACCAAACACGTTTGAAGACGAGGAACCGTACTGCACATTACAGTACCACACGGTACAAACTAAGATTTATTGCATTTTGCCAGGCAGTGGTTTAAGAAACCTGACTACACCGGAAGAGGATGACGTCCCATATGTACAGTAGTGGATTGGGCGGCGTTCTGCAGCAACCAGCCACGTGCCATTGATGCCTTTTCCATGGAGAGTTGGCTCCAATCAGTTTCCTCAGCCATCCAAACAGCATCAAACACTAGAGATGAGCACACCCACTGATGATACATACATGCTGATTTGGTGGTTGACGTCTGTCCATACCTGTAACGACAGGTGTTTGCAGTTTCTGACCCTCTCACGTGATTTAGTTCAGGGAGCCCCTATACCTCAGCTGACAAGCTGGACCAGCCACTGCCCAAGCATTGACCCGCCAAAGTTGCTAGGAGAGTGTTCATGGCCATGGTCAGGAAGCGTGTCTCTGGCAGCGCGATGGGCCTTAGCTTCCGCGAAGATCCGTGAAATAGCCTGGCACTCCAACTCCAACTCTCCGTTGTGGATCCACATTGGGGCGAGGCCTTCTGGGGCATACCATTGCATCAATGGGAATTCCAGGATCCTAAAATGAAGGTACTGTACCATATAAGGCCATATTTTGTGGGGATATTCCCTTACATAGGCCTTACATAGGCCTTATATATGGTAGGTACCTCCAATCTAGGATCCTGAAATGGCCATTGATTGCATATCTAAATATTTGTCTATCTATCTGTCTGTCTATTTATCGATTTATCCAACCCTATCGGTTAATCTAATCCTACCCAGCACAATGAAATCTAATCCTTATAGTATCTCATCCTACCTAATTCTGCCTCGTCCTGTCACATCCTACCTAAACCTATCTTATCCTAGCTATGTAATCCTATCCTATCTGTCTAATCCGATCCATCTATAAAATCCTATCTATCAATTCGTATCTATCGAAGCCTAACTATCCTAACTATCCGATCTTCCTATCTTTTCTCTCTATCCTTTTTTCCTATCTATCCTATCTGTATTGTCTATCTGATCTGTCCTATCTATCCGTTCTATCTTTTCTATCCTACCCTACCCCATCCCATCCCCACCCATCCCATCCTATCTATCCAATCATATTTATTTAGCTATCTATAGATCTATCCCATCTAACCCAATCTAATCAATTCTAATCTAATGTAATCTAGTCTAGTCTAATACAATCTCATCTAGTCTCATCCAATCTAATCTATCTATTCATCTAACCATATCTATCTGATCATATGTGTATATAATATATATAGATATAATTATACATATTTGTTTCTTTCTATCGTTCTTTCGTTCTATTTTTCTATTCATCTATCTATGGTTCATGATTTCTTTCTGTCTTTCTACCGTCCTATCGTTCTATCTTTCTATATGTTTATCTTATTCATCTATCTATCCTCCCATCCACCCACCCATTCATCTATCCATCTGTCGCTCTATCTATCTGTGTAAATATGATTTTGCTATTCTGAAAACCAAATACAACAAATCCGAAAGAGGGCATGAGGCATGATAAAGTTGCTGACAGACTGACAGGGCACACTGGGTGCACGAAAAGCTTATTGGATGGCAACTTCTTCCGAACTTGCACCAAAAGATCCTCAGTGTGCCCTAGGTGCAGGAGCAGTACCCTTCAGCAAGTGGCATGTCTTGGCATGAAGCTGCTGTTCCCCCATACACAACGACTGACTCAACAAGGCAGGCTGTTCCAGGCTGTGCCAAACTGAACTCAGAGCACCTAACACATGCCTATAGCTCTGCGTCTAAATCCGAGAATAGGCTCCAGGTACACGTTGACAACTGTCCGCAAGGCATCATCAAAGCTGTCATGCTTCCCCTGTCAAACCATTGCATTGGGAGCCAAAGTTTAAACCCAGGACATTGCGTGACAAAAGCCGTAACGGTCCAAAATTTTTGAGTTCCTATTTTTTTTATGCTTTCGATTCGCCACTTAGATTCACTCATGCACTTATGCCACTCCCCTTGGTAGATGTTTGATCGTCATAGCCATAGCCAATCCACAAAATGTACAGTAACTACGCCCAAGCTCGTCCAAACTGCAATCTAGTGTTCATCTTTGGCATGCTTCCCTCATCAACAGGCCTTTTGCACCGAGCGGAGGATGCCATCTCGGCAATCAATCTCACCAAGCAGGAAGATCACAGGCGACTCGATGGGAATGATTGATAGCTTATCCCAGAAAGAAAACCTGAGATGGGGCGTCGCACAATGACACATGCTGTGACTGGAGAAATGTTCTGCTGCATGGGGGGCACCAAGGCAAACATGTTACATGCATGTACACACAGGGAAGCACATGGGGCATCATTCAGCCACACACGCAAACTATATATATATATTCTTTTTTCTTGTGGTAAAAAAAATCGGTGATATGTCATACATGTATATATTTATATATATGTATATGCATATGTGACTATACGTGTGTGTGTATCACATCACATCACATCATACCATAGCATGACAAGATATGATGGCATGTGTATATATATATATATATGTGTGTGTGTGGGCGTATATGTGTGTGTGTAAACTGCTATTTCAAGCAGCATTTAAGAAAGCAGGGGGCCATCCCTCTCATCATTGGTGGATGGCCAATGAAAAGGCCCTGCAGGCAGTTCCTGCGTGTGAGAAGACATACAGCCGGAATGCCACTAAAGCTAGGAACGCAACTGCAAAGCCAAACACATGACACCTTCCTTCAGTGATCTTCAGTGCAATGTACATACAAAGACTTCTGTGACAGGTGTCAGCGCGCCCAACCTGCGGTCGCAAAGGTGAGCCAAGCTTTCCAGCTCGCGCATCATCCAGCACCCAACTTGGTATGTTGAATCCCGGCCACTGGAGGTAGTAGTCAAAGCCGCCGCGGTTTTTCTGGACGTACCACGTCTTGAACCTTCGGACAAGTCAAGCAAAGCTGAAGTGGCCCAGAACCCCTCAAGTCTGCCTGACGGTTATGATTACCTGAACCTTCCTTCGATACACTAAAAAGTGCTCAGAAATAAAAAACGCTCATTTCCAAAAAAAGTGCTACACGCCCTTTAAAAGTGCTCATTTGGTTGTTTCATTTTGTCGGGCACCCCCACATGTTCAAACAGCCGGATCCCCAAGGATTCTTGCAACATACACTGACACAATCACCCTATGCTTAGGATCACGCTGCTTAGGCTCTCCGCAACCAACATCATTCGCCGCTGCTGCAAGTAAGTCATCAAATTCACTTGGATCGGCCGAACTAGACACTTAAGCTAGTGAATATCCACATTTGGGAGGCAAGTGTCAGTAGTGCCCGTACACTTTTTGAATTGCGCCCCGGTTGCGCGAAATTGCGCCCTGATTGCGCGAATTTGCGCCCCGATTGCGGGGTACCAAGTTGTCCAAAACGTCAAAAAATGTCAAAACACAGACAAATGTGTAGAATCAATTCTTTTGAGTTTGGTCCCAATGTGCATCCTCCCCAGGAAGCATAAATTAGGAGATAGATGCTAATTTAGATGCAAAACTCGCTTCCAGGATTGGCTTCCACCAGCTTGAGTATGGGCTACTGTAACTTTGTGGATTTCTCCAAGAGTTTAATAGATACAAAGGTGTAAAATGGGTTTGAACATGTTTGAACCCCAAAAAGTGCTCATATCCATTGAAACCCCCAAAAAGTGCGCAGACCCTCAAAAAGCGCTCAGGGATGGCAGAAAGTGTATCCAACCAGGGGTTTGCCAGAAAAAAGTGCTACAATGGAATCTCCAGGACATACAGAGTCATACAGCTTAAAAATCCAGCAACATTAGTGGTGACATCAAATCTGTGAATACGCTACTTAGCATTTTAGCATGGCACATGTGATTCCTTCATAGACATAGACGCAAAAGGACCCGTAAGGTGCCGGTGTGCAATTGGGTATTTATTGCTAAAAAGTTAAAATATGCTAAACATGCCCCTCTCTCCTGGTTCTAACCATCGTTTCCAGAATATGTTGGAACATATTGGAACCGTATAATATTATATATATGATATTATATTATAACATATTAATTATATTATAATATATTATAACATATTATATTATATTATATTATATATTATATTATATTATATATTATTATATTAAAAATGCATTGTGTTTTGGTAGGAAACAAGCAATGGCTGAGGCTTGGCGCCAAGAAGCTGATTAAATTCGAAGGCATGATGCCGTATCTCGGGATTTGGGCATTCGTAGTATTCTTGGAATCGTAAGAATGTGCTGCCAAGAACGAGCCGAGAATCCTTAGAGAACACAAATTTCTGCGAAAAAACATCCGCACGACTGCCAAGGTCCATGAGTGGTTGGGAAATAGGGGTTATACTGTTGTTTGTGTTTTTTCCTTTTTTTGGTTCATTGGGTTCATGTAAAATATATACGTTAAGGTTTTACAAGCTAAATCATGTGGTTTGTGATCAGTTTTTAAGTTTTTAGATTTCACGTGCGGAATTGCACTCTCACAGTTCCTGGTTCAGAAAAAAACTGGCAAAGTGATGCGGCAAAATCCAAAAGCCTCTTGCAAGCAAGCTTCGGTATGCACACTGTACACTGACGGAAGCACCTGCAGCAAGGCCGGCCTTGAGATCATAAAAGTGGCATGCAGTGTATAGGATTGAACACATATAAGTAAAATATATTATTACTATATATGATATATAGTGATATAAATGATATATAATGATATATAATTATATATAATATTAAGATATATATTATATATATATAATATTAAGATATATAATATAATATAATATAATATTATATTATATTATATTATATAATATTATATAATATATATATTGATAACATACAAATGCCTACAGCGCATGGATGCATAGGTTAACAATAGTTAACAGAGGTTTATAGGCCAATTGCATCCAATTGCCTGCACAATCCTTCACAATAATCCTTTAAGATCACATTTATCTAGTTTGCAGCAGCAGCAGCAGCCGCAGCAGCTGCACATCCTTTTTCCTATCTTTAGGCCACCCACCACAGTCGGTCACACTTCTCCCCGTCCCACATGTTCTGCTCCATCGAACACTGGGGGAGGTGTTTGGCACCCTGCACCTCTGTGAGGGTATAGAGCCCCTCGAAGTCTCTGGCAGAGACCTGCAAGTCTTCGCACCTGAGTCAAGCTGTGCAACCTCGCTGCCACATGGTGCCTCATAATTAAACACTCCTGTAGGGATGGCGGATGGAGTTGCCAGCGGAAGCTAACAGCAAAAGCTAACAGCGGAAGCTAACAGCAATCCCAACATATATGAGCCAAGACAAAATCCATTGTGACTGTGGGGTGGTTACAGCAGCACAAATGGCTCATTTCTGGTGCAAATGCATGGGGCCGTCCATGGGATCATGTGCCCTGTACAGAACATAGGTTGATTTCAGAGTTTGCCATGCTTCTGAACGGCCAGTAAATCTTTGGCTCAAGCCTGGACTTTGGAATTCACTGAGCGAAACTTGGAGACAAGCACAAATAAGCTCGCCGAGCGCCAAGGCACATTGCATCAAAGTAAGAGCAAACGAATTCTTCAGAACCTTGACAAGCCGAAAGGCACAGTTGAGTCTTGCAGTGCATTTGCAAAAAGCCTGGGAGACTGTGTGGACTGCTGCGTCAGCCCGCACCACTCACCGCTCCAAAATGAAAGAGCCCTATTATAGAGCGGTTCTTATCTTCTTACGTTACACCATATAGGCAAGTTGCTTGAGTGCTGAAAGTGCACTTTGCACCTGCGAACCTCTGCATGGAACGCATGGCAACTCTCAACCCACATTGTCTTGAAATTCGTCATAATTCGTCATGAATGAAAGCACACTATATTTATATATTATACATTTAACAATAGAATATATATACATATATATATATTAGTTTTATATAGTTTTATGCATTATATAATGTCATATACTAGTTATTATAAAATTGAAACATATCAAAAATACATATTTAAATATAATTATAATCATATATTGTTGTTAAACTAATATATATATATATATTATAGTAATTATCATATTATGTTGTTATTATATTGCACAATATTAATATATAAATATAAAATAATATATACTGTATATATATATATATTAAATTATCATCATACATAATCGCCTCTCAAAGGGCCACTGGCACATGTAAACAATGTAGGAACCACCCCTGGCCCTGGCCAAAGAAAAAGCAACTAGCAGTCCACAGCGTTCACATGCATTCACATCATTTATTGTCCATCTCAATTTGTCTTACAGTCGGGAATTTTCGTGGAAGATGGTGGAAGGGGCGCCTGGGCCATGGCGAAGATACGGCACAATGACGCTGCAGGCGGTACATGTCGAAACATTGGCGGAAGGCCAGTAGCAGCCAGGAAGCAATGCCTCAGCAACATTGGCAGCATGACCCTATAGCGCTGCCTGGGTAACTGAACTGGCCACAATCATCACAAACGTAGATTCAGGAATAATTGATTCTACTTGTTCCAAATTTTCTGTACAAGCAACTTTGTGGCTCGTTGAAATGAATGAACATCTTGTTCCATCAAGAATGTAGGCATCCTCCTGTAATTATAACTCTAATTTACATAATGATCCCCCTTGCTTGATGGGTACCTACCCCTAGCTGGTCATTTCATAAATAATATACATCTTTGGGCATTTATGAAATAGGTGGCCCGACGGAAAAACATATTTCCGCAATATAAATGCAGGTATAGTATAATATAAAACCTTGAGGTTTTATGAAATGCCAACACGTCCAAAAACTGAAAGTATCCCGATAACAAGTTTTTTTTTATGTTTTTCCGTTTATGGACTGCCCGGGTTCATCATTGGGATTTGCAACAAACACCACTATAAAATGCCCAGATGCTTGAAAACTCCTTTAAAAAAAATGATACATGTATGCCATCTATGAAATGGGTTTGATGGCAAATGGCGTCAAAAGTAAGGAACACCACCAAATTTGGGATACCCTGAGTTAAGTCAAACCCAAACTTGCTTCTAGATTGTTTCCCAAAAAAACAGTCAGCAAATGTCAGCTGCTTTCACTTTCTTCATCTTTTTTCACCTGTTTTCCCCCAGGTTTGAGTTTGCCAGTTCACTTTTTTCATTTTTTTCAAAAAACATCTCTATCCATAAGTTATGCCCACAATCACTTTTAAAACATTCAGTGGTTCATTTTCAAGGTCTTGCAATGAAATTTTAAAGTATTTTTCAAAATATTTCTGGCAAAAGCATTCTTTTTATCCAACTATAAAATGCCCTTCCTGGAAATTGAGAAGGAAATACCAATGAATCCCAGGCAGATGCATTTCATAAATGTCCTGGTGGTCGCATATGGTCGCATAGATGGGCAACAATCTAACAAAAACTCCCATGTGGGTTCTATAAAATGCATGGTTTCTTAGAATGGTGGGAAATACCTGGAAATCAACCAGCAAAGGCATTTTACAAATACCGAGAAAGATAAAGAAACAGCAGGGAGGGCGGCCACATTAGAAAGACACAATGGGCTTATATGAGATGGTGGGTGTAAAGTTTATAAGCACAAAACTAGCACTAAAAACACTAAAAACAAATTAGCATAATCTATCATCCATACATGATGGCAGATTTTTTATAAAAATGCCTGGCCATACAAAAGAATTCCCAAAATAAATATATTTTTTTTTGAAATTGTTTTCGTTTATGAGAAGGTAGTTGGAGGGGGCATTTTGTAACACCAAACGAGTGGCATTCTGTAAAGGAACAATCATGGGGGATACATAATGTAGGATTCATTGATTTGTCATAGATCATTGCCAATCAGCTGCCTTTGCAGCTGCTGCAGCTGCCCAAAAACGCTGAGGACCTCAGCGATGGCCGAAATATCCATGTCCTTAGATAGACCGATGCTGATGGCCGACAAAGGTTACCACATATAGACGGATGTTCAAATCATCAACCATGGTGAACCAAGGATTGGAAACCTGCATCTGTTTATTTATTTCAAAATGTTTCAAACACCCCCGCGCATTTCCTCAGGCCAAGCATAGTTACACTATGTTACACTCCCTAGAACAGACGTGTTCTGCATTACCATTACCAATGTCAGGGGGAATGCGTTGTAGTTTTGTATTGGTACTGGCGAACGGTGGCAGCTAACATGTCCTGATGTGGAAATTGGAAACTATGAAACTGAAAATTAGCATCTCTCAAGTTTTGTTTTTTCCCGTCGCCATCGGTTTTATGCTTAACAATCCTATGGTTCTATGGCGTCTGGGTTGCACAATGAAATTGGGGACACAATGGGGATATGTTAGCCTTGCCGGCGCCCTTTCAAAAGCAACACACGGGTCTTTTATATTTCATCGGGTTTGCATGTGTGTGTGTGTGTGCGTCCGCTCCGCGGGGTCCTTTCTTAAAATCAAGAGACCCTCACCTGGCACCTGGGGGAACAAACATCTAGGGAAAGTGGCGATGTGAGGGTGAACAATTTAATGAAAGACCCTCCCTTGTGACTCATGACCTTACCGATTCTTTTTGCGGCTGCGGCTGTGGGCATTTTGCCCTCGACATACGTTACAGGACCAAAATGGACCAAGCATAGGCCTTGCTTCACCGCATCCCCTTGAAACAGGAACCCAAGCCAGTGCTGCCCTTGTGCTGCCCAGTTTCGTCGATGTCTAGAGAGAGCTCCTGACACGACATTCATGTGAAGGCATGTGTATCAGCCGCACTCAAGAAGCCAAGGATGTGAAGGGCATATGAAAAATCATCAAAAATGTAAGGTCGGTTGGTAGGCGTCGTTTTAATAAACTCACCAAAGTCTCAACAAGCAAACCTTGTGCAAACCCGTGCCAACACTCTGACTCTCACATTGGGCACGTCGGCAGACATTTTTTTTGTCACAGGTCACAAACCTATCAAACGTTGTGGCAAGCCGCGACTTCATCAGAATTAGACACTGAAGGAAGGCTTTGGACGCTGAAGCCATGTTAAGCTTTGGCCCCTGAGAGCATGGACTTCGCTTGGTCCAGGGAATCCATTTCATCTGAACGAGCTGATTGCCTGGCATCAAACTGTTGCATGAGGGTGTCACACTGGTTGTGTAACTCCCCGGTGAGCGTGGCGAGTTCCTCTAGCTCCGTCGTCAAACCCTCCTTAGCCTGACGTGCCTCCACCAAAGAAGCCTCAGTTGCACCCTTCTCCCCTGCCTTGGTTGTCATCTCCTTCTTCTTGGTCTCAATGGATGCAGTGGTTGTCTTGGCAAAGGCCTCGTAATCTTCTTGAGCAGAAGTCTCTGCATGGGTTGCCTCAACTTCCATAGCTTTTGCATCAGCAATGAGGTGCTGAAGCATGCTGATGACACCAAAGCTGGCGGATTGCTCTTTGTAGTCCTTGAACTCAGGCTCACCTGCTTTGCTTTTCTTGGATTGAATGAATGCAGGCGCCTCTTTGACGTAGAACTTCTTCAAGGAAGCACTCGCTTCCTGCAAGAGCTTCTGGGTCTGCCGTTGCTCCATGACCACGCCCTGGAACTCCTTGTTTTCCTTCTCGCGATTCTGGCCGGCCACTTGCGTTTGCTTGTTCATTTCGGCTACCTCGTCCTCTAGAGACTTGATGTCAGCACCGAGTTGTGCAACCTTGCTCTGGAGGGCTTCCAGCTCTGCCAGCTTCTGCTGTTCAGAGTGAGTCTTGTCCTGTGTCTCCAGTTTTTTTTTCTGCAGCTCATCGACACACCAATCCTTCTGCTCAACTTCAGCAGCCTGCTGCTTCTTCAGGTCGGCCTTCATTTCATCAATGGCCTTCTTCACCTTTTCAAAGTTGTCCAACTTCATGGTCAAGGCCAAGGTGGTCAGGCGGGAGTCCAATTTCCTCCCAGCAGCAGCCAACACAGCTGCAGCACGGTCTTGGCGATTGTCGTGGGAAGACACCTGCAAAAAGGAGAAGGTCTTGCCGAAAACATCATGCGCCTCATCTGCAGTCAAGACCTCAATGGTCTTGCTGACCGCAGCTTGCTCCTCAGATCGCAACTTGCTGCGCTTGTCGTACTCCGTGTCCATGACCGCACACTTCTCCTTGACCTCGGTACTGACAGCGCCATCTGCTTCCAAGGCGGCAGTGGTGTCTCTGATGCCTTGCTTGCTCTGCTCCTTCTCCAAGTCTGCTGATGCTTTCTGCTCCTTCTTGGCCTCCAACTGTTTCTTGCCAGCCTGAATTTCCTCAGTCTTGGCTTTGACCAGGCCTTCATGAGCCTTCTTGTCCTCAGTCTCCTGCTTTTTGAGATCTGACAGCTGTACTTCAAAGCTGTCCTTGAGACCGGAAAGCACACCGGCAACCCCTCCAGGAGCTTCCCGGGAAGTCTGCAAGAACTGGGATTTCAATTTGGGATTCAACAATGATTCCACCTTGCTGCGTTGTGCCTCGGTCAACAAACGTTCATGTTTTGAGAGGACACTCTTCAGCTGTGTCAAGGCATTGGCCACTCTTCCCTTGGAGGTCTGCAGAAATGAGGATTGGTTGGTGCCAATCACATCAAGCGCCTTGTCCACGGAAGTCGCGGACTGGGTGAGGTCTTTCTCATCAGCTGCGAACTCAGTCACTTGCTTGGCGCGCAAGGCCTCAGACGCCTCCAAGGCCTTTTCGTTGCTGGACACCTCATCCTCAGTATGAGTGATCTCTGAAGTCAAGCGGGAGCTGGTGGCGGTCAACTCATCAACACGAGCCTCCAAGGCTTTCACGTGGTTCTGCGCTTCTTCAATGCTCTTGGCCTTTTCATCTCCGTTGCTTTTGCACCAACACTGCATCTTCTCATACATGTCTTCATCCTCTTTGGCCTCCTTTTCCAAATTGGTTTGCATGTCTTTCAGCAGGTTCACCACTTTGGTGACCGGCCGGGTTTCCGATTCCATGGCCAAGAAGCCATGTACAACTGCGAACAAACACAGGACGCGGAACATCTCTTCGACGGGATTCAACCGCCCCTGGCTGTGCTACAATTCTTCCTAGGGAAGTCGCGGACACATTGGAACTTGAGCCCCAATATCTATCAGAATCGCACAGGTTGAGGCTCTCTGGAAGGTCTCTCAGGTTCCATGGACCGTGCTGCGTGGTGACATGTTTATACACGGGGCAATGATGAACACATGAATTTTGTAGAGAAATTGGCGTGCTACAGACAGCGAAGAAAAGCAGAAAAGAGAAGAGAACAGTAGAGCAGAGCAGGGCAGAATAGCGTAAGGTAGCGAAGAAACGAGAAGATCAGAGAAGAACAGATTAGGGCAGGGTTAGAGTAGCGAACAGGAGAGAAGAGTATAGTATGGCAAGGTAACGAAAGGCAGAGCAGAGAAAAGGAGAGTGGAGAAGGGTCGCGTAGACAAGAACAAAGCAGAGAAGAGCACATAGAAAAGCAAAATAGAGAAGAGGAGGGTAGAGAGGAGCAATGGAGAAGAGTATATAGGGTAGAGTATTGTGGAGTAGAGAAAAAGCAGAGCAGAGCAGAACAGAGCAGAGTGAGGTAGGGAAGACAAGAGAAGAGAAGAGTAGATGGGCAAGGCAGAGTAGCAGAGTGGAGCAGAGTAGAGTAGAGTAGAGTAGAGTGGAGTGGAGTGGAGTGGAGTAGAGTAGGTTATGGCAGAGAAGAGCCGAGCAAGGAAAGGAAAGTAGACAAGGGGAGGATAGAGAAGAGGAGAGCAGAGCAAAGGAGAAGAGGAGGACCCGAGCAGACCAGAGGAGTAGTAGAAAATAGAGCAGGGTAGAAGTAAAGAAGACTAGAGCAGATCAGGACAGGATAGAAAAGAGCCGAGCAGAGAAGAACAGATTAGGGCAGCGTAAAGTAGAGAAGAGCAGAGCAGAGAAAAGGATAGCAGAGAAGGGTGGAGTAGAGAAAAGGAGACTGAGAAGGGGAGGGTAGAGTCGAGCAGGGTAGAGAACGAGAGACGGAGAGAGTAGAGAAGAGGAGAGCAGTAGAGCTGAGTAGGGCAGACTAGGGCAGAGTAGGGCCCAGAAGGGCAGGGAAGGGCAGAGAATGGGAATGGAGAATGGGAATGGAGAATGGGAATGGAGAAGGGGAATGGAGAAGACGAGATTTGAATTGAGGAGAGAAGAACATAGAAGAGTGGAGCAGAGTAATTAGAAAAAAAGAAGGTAGAGAAGAGGAGCGTAGCGTTAGAGTAACAGAATAATGACGGGAGAGGACGGCAAAGTAGAGTAAGCGTAGGGTTGAGCAAAGAAGACGAGACGAGGGAACAGAAGAGAAGAGCGCAAGAGAGAAGAAAAAAACAGAAGCAGTCACTTTACGCATTTTGGAGGGCGTCTCACACGAAAGGTGCGTCCTTATCTCTTCAACTTCAACTCGCAGGTTTTTGGAGCAGGCTTCGCACGAAACCTTTACTTTCATAATCTTTCATAATGACTTAAACTTGCAGTTTTTGAGGAAAGTCTCGCAGTATCTCGCAGTAAATGTGTTCTTGGAGAGATATTATGATAGCAGTTGCGCGAAATCTTATGCTTCCCAAGGCAAGAAGTTGCAAGAAGTATCAAAAAGTGCCTCCAAAGATCAGTGGGTAAGGTCGGCCGCGCGACCAGGTCATTCTCGGATCATGGTTGAGCGGCCCCGCGTTGGAACCGAATCTCTCTCTCTTCCTTTTCAACGCGCCACAACGAGAGCGATCCGACACGCACAAAGTAACTAGACGGTTGCGCGAGCACATGTTAGATTTTCACAAAACCTGTTGCCGCATCATGCAACATAAACATAAGTCAAAAACGAGTTTTACCTACTATATAGGTCTCAGCCACTTTTTTGTCGAAGTCTACAAAATGTATTGTGCCTCGAGGAATCTGAAGCCGCCCCTGCCACATGGAATCATTGTCATGTCCCAAAACAAATTTGACGACGGTTTCACAATACGCGATTGTCTATCTACCCTTTGAAAACGTCGTCCAAGTTCACCAAATACTGTGCCTGCTCTGAAAAATGACCTCCAGTACCACCTCTCATTTCGTTCCACGCCTGCCGCCTGCCAACGTTTTAGCAACGTCCAAAAAGTGCCACGCCTGCCACGTGGATGAAAAAGTGTTTGCTGTCCTGCGAAAATCCGAATAGAAACAGCTTGGAACGGCAAAACATGGCAAAACCACTTGTTACGCAAAACGACGTTTCAGACCCCCAAATGTTGCGAAAGTGCAACGTCTGCCCCACGAAATGGACTTAGGTCAAAAAAACGAGCACGGCGCACTAGTAAAACGAAACTTTTTTCCATCCAAAACGGAAGATAAAGGAACTTTATTGTGCTGCAAGAGTCATCAAAAATGGCGCAGACATGCGCAGACCTATGATACCACCTCAAATGAACACCGGGCCTTAACACCTACAAGTACCATAAGAACCCCTTAGTGTGGCTAGGCTGTTTGGGGAAAAAAGCGGTCGTTTGGGAATGTTTTCACTTTCTATGATGTCAATATAGTCAATATAGTCAATAGATCACAAGATCATTTTCGGTAAATCAGGAGGCCAGCAAAATCAACAAACAGTAATGAGAAGATCAGTCGACAGTAGACACAGCAAGCGCATCAAAACGCTAGTTCAGGAGATCGGTGGACGGTAGACGAGAAGATCGGGAAACAGTAGCTCTGCCCATCAAAGGCCAGTAGAAAAGTAGATCGGTAAATCAATAAGCGGTAGATCTGAAACCGTACACGAAGAGATCAACAGGCAAGGAGAACAGCAAATCAGCAGGTCAGGCCATGAGGAGACTAGTAGCTCAGTAGATCTGAGGAGAAGATATTGGAGAAGCAAATAAGTATGACAGTAGATCATAAATCAATGGGATCAGGAGATCACTACATCAGCAAACAGTAGACTGCACCAAAGCATCTCACAGAGTCATTCAGTCAGTCAGTGAGAATCAATCGGTTGGTGGGCCAATCAGTCGGTTAGTGAGCCAATCAGCCCTCCGTTCCTTCATCCCTTTGCTTCTTGTCGATCACATCACATCACGTGGTCAATCCAACTTTGACACTGACTGCAAATACAGGAACGCTTCCTGTAGGTGCTGTTGCTGTGGCGCATTCATAATATTTCATAATCATATTTATGAAACTTCTGCGACGCTCCATGCAGGACTGGTATCTACATAACACTACACTACACAGTATGCACTATAATGTTGTCTAGCCAATAGTGATATCTTGTCATTAGTAGAAACATTTTTCCGAAACTCCAATTTTTCTCCAATACTAAAAGTCAATTAGCTCCATTTACTTTTAGTATTGCCAAAAGAGTCATGTTCAGACCTTGTCCAGAGGGCATGGCCAATAGTGGACCCAACATGGCAATAGTGGAAACTTTTTTCCCAACTCCATTTTTTTTCCAATACTAAAAGTCAATTGGCTCCATTTACTTTTAGTATTGCCAAAAGAGTCAAGTAAAGCAAATCCTTTTCAAAGCAGCCTTCACTTTTGATTAGCAAAAGCTTAGGTTCCAGAAATCTGATCCAATTACCAAACAGCTGATTTCCTTATAAAACCCTTATTAAAAAAAAGCAAGAAAACAGGTCCACAAAGGGTACCCCCTTCGCAAGCCCCAGAATAGCAATAACAAACCTGCACCAGGCATGGCAATAGTGGAAACTTTTTTCCGCAACTCCAATTTTGTTGTCCTCCTTCTCCTTCTCCTTCTTCTCCTTCTTCTCCTCCTCCTCCTCGTCCTCCTCCTTCGCCTCCATCCCAGCCATAAGGTTCCAAAAATTTACTATTGGAATGCTGACCCCCCCCTGACTTTTTTACCAAAATTATTTTATTTAGGGGGGGTTACTATTATGCAGCAAACATATACAGTTTAAAAAATATCAATATATTTATCAATATTTATCAATATTTCAAAACGAATGATGCCAAAGTGCATGAGCTCGGCCCGACGCCTTGGAGAGCGGCAGGCCATGACGGTTCAGCGCCAACACACATGCCGCGAAGCTCGGTGGTGCCACCGAAGCCAAGCTGAAGTCAATCTGCGCTGCTGCGGCAGTGGCAAAGCAAATGTGTAGTTCTGGTGGGGCTTTCATAGCATCGAACATTGCGCGGCAAAGTCGGGACATCTCGAAAGGAATTATATACATTTTATATCATTTTATATACTAGGGAATGAATGGGAATGGTACTTTTTCATCCATCTCTGGTTCTTCATGTTGCAAACAAACACACTGCCACACACTGTGCATCGACAGAAATCTCTCTCTACTCTACCACGACTGTGGCCGCGCAACAAAACAGTTGAGTTGACATGGCTGCACTCAAGCACAGCTGTGTCTCCTGAAAGAACACATTGTTCAAAGCCGAGGGGATCCTGACCTCCCCTGAGCTAAACAGCTCGTCCTGAGAAGAGTCAACGGGGTGAACATTCAGTGATCAATCATGCATGTTGAATCTTCTGAGATGACAGTCAGGGAACATGACCTCTTACACCTGGTGTGCTTCAAGCCAATAAAGTTTGTTGAAGGGAGATTGCCTGGCGCACTCTTGGGCATAAGAACCCAAAACAGCAACAACCTGACTCTTAAGGCATCCCAAGCCCTGTCCTCTCGCGTCTGTTTGGAACTGTATGATAGCATGTACTATACTGTACACCTCGTCACCAAGACTACTATAATAGTCACTATTTATGTTTATGATGCTTGCACGAATGTATGCCTGGACAACACGCACTTTGTCTGAGATGGTGTCATTGAAAGTGACAACAACGGGGCTCTCAAATAAGAACCAATCCCAAACAATCACATCTTCATCAAACATATCAAGCATCATCAACTAATATATAATTGTCGAACCAGCAAACGCTTTCCTACACCAGGTCCTGCTCTGCAATGTCAACCTCGTTCTCTGCCCCGGCTGCAGAGGGCTGAGATTCACAGGGCGAAGGCCACAGTCCAGACTGGTAACCCAGTATGCCTACTGAGGCAAGGTACTCCAAATCCATTGCTAACCATCGCCCATTTTCATCACAACGAATCTTTCAGAACTTCTGCATGTTTCTTCCTTTGAGCTCGCCTTGCAGCCACCTGGAGATAGCTGAACTTTTCTATAAAAGACTCTGAAGCAATACCTTCTGACTCAAACAATCTTGCCCTTTTGTTGTCCAACACAATTCCGCCCATGCCATGCCAGCAGGACATCTGATGCAGTGAGTCTTACGTCGTCTGTTCTGTGTTCTTCCATGTTCTTCCCCATTGAAACTTCAGATCTAATCACGACATATCCCGACAAATCCAACATGAACGCAGTCCAAGGTCTGACACTCCGTCTTCAGATGTCTTGAGCCTTGAGGCCACTGAGCCCACAGCACCTCAATCGATCTCGATATATCTCGATAGTCTTAAATGAACCGTTCATAATTTTTGAACCTAAATTGCAACATATTGATACATATTGCAAACTTCGCATTCCCTTGGCAGCTGTGGGGAGGCATCAGCGAAATAAAATGAAATAAAAACAAAGAAATCTGATGATATCTGTGCAGTTCAGGACCTAGTTTAGGACATACACTTTGATACACTTTGCATTTGCTTCTTGTGACCTGGCACACGCTCCCAGCCTTTGTGGCTGTTTCCCAGTTGCAGTCTGTTTGATAAACCATTCCAGCACAAAAACTTGTTGAAAAGGGGAAGCCAATAAAAGCACGTTCACTTAGAATGACTTAGACAACATTAGACAACAGAATCTGGTCATGAGGAAGCTAGAGCAGCCCTCCTCCCGAAACAGCACTGCAGCGCAACGTTTTACCCACAAACGCCTCCAACTACACTTGGTTTGGCCATGCTTGGCCATTCTTGGCCATGCTTGGCCATTTGGCCATGGCCAGCGCTGAAGTTGAGGGCCCGCGGGCGGAGCGGCGTGCCAGAGATTGGGAACTCTTTGCACAGTCTTCCACTCAACTGAGGCTGGTGGAATCAGGAAAATAACATGACGTTGTTTGACTTGCAGTGATCCTCGCCAACTCACATATTCTAGCATTCTTTCCGCACTTTTTTCTCACACATATTCCAGCGTTTCATTTGACATTCGATCTGACATATATATTCAACGTATTCTGACAGTTCTATCTGACATATTCTGACATGGCATCTGGCATTCTAGGTGACATTTTCTCTGACATTCAAGTTGACAGTATTTAACATGTGTGGAAGGATTTCATCTGAGCCGTTGCCAAAACATGCCAAAACCCTCATAGATTTGGTTCTATTCGCTCTTCTCTTTCGCCATCCATTTAGCGAAACTTTTGCGGTGTTGATGTTTCTTTTGCATCTTTTGCGGCATCCTTTCATGAGCTTTCGCGGAAAACTCCTGACTGAAAAGAAACCCTTGTTTTCCGTATGGATCATGTTGAAAGGTTTGTTCCCAAGCTTTCTTTCAATGGGCAGGAATTGTAACTGTGGCAACACGTGCGCCGAAATTTCATTTCTGACATGAGCTAGTTACCGTAATGGACAGTAGTATTCGAGGCATCTTTATTTTTGGAAATTGAGCTGGGGCATGGAAAAACGATAATACAGTATGATAATACACTCTTCAAAAAAACGATAACATTCTTATGTTTGATCTTGGTCATCAGTCATCCTTTGTCAGTAGGCATTCAATAGCATTTACCATCTGTTTGAGAGATAGGCCATGCGAATTGCTGTGTGGTGATGGTCTGTTTATGCTGCTGTTTGCGCTGCGCTGCATGCTGAGTAAATTTCAAGTACTGTACGGCCATCAGTCTTTTGCCTCAACTCTTGCTAGTGACAATCCGCCATGCTGGAGAAAGGACAGAACAAGGTTTACCAGAATCATTGTTTTGCAGACTTTTTGATCCAACCAGGTGTCCCAAATTATAACCGGAACGATAACGAAACGATAACCAAAAAATCACATAACCATACATAACCCCCATCGGCCAAACGCTGGCCCATTGCTCGCTAAAAAACTGTTTTTCTTAGCGCATATTGCTCGTCCAAGATGAGCAGCAAGCAAGCGCAAGACGTGGCAGGGCTCAGATATTTCCTGAATGAATTGTTGGAACTGAAGGTGAAAGATGTGAAAATGAAGCTTTCGTGCGAGACTTCACTCAAAAACTGAACGTAGAAGATGTGAAAATGAAGCTTTCGTGCGAGACTTCACTCAAAAACTGAACGTGGAAGATGTGAAAATGAAGCTTTCGTGCGAGACTTCACTCAAAAACTGAACGTGGAAGATATGAAAATGAAGCTTTCGTGCGAGACTTCACTCAAAAACTGAACGTGGAAGATGTGAAAATGAAGCTTTCGTGCGAGACTTCACTCAAAAACTGAACGTGGAAGATGTGAAAATGAAGCTTTCGTGCGAGACTTCACTCAAAAACTGAACGTGGAAGATGTGAAAATGAAGCTTTCGTCAGTTTTGGTGGTGGTGACAGTGCTGGGTGATAGTGGTGGTTGTGATGTGATAGTGATAGTGGTGGTTGTGCTAGTGGTGGCGACAGTTCCATCAAGAAAATGACTTTCCGAGAAAGTGTCTGGAAGTATCTCATCCCTTGCTGGAAAGCCATCAGAATACAATGGAATATACAGGGAATACGAACATGGTTTATCCAAACCCGAAAAACGATAATACACTCTTCAAAATTTGATGACTTGGAGCTATTAAATATTGACCGTGGTTCACATAGGGAAAAGCACGAACATGTGACATGAAGTCCCTTGCGCAGAACTCGTTTGAAAAATCTGGAATCCGCTTGCCAACCTTCCCCTGACCTAAGTTAAAGGGGAAGGGCGATCCCAGCCAATCGAAGCTTTCGCGGGTCTTTCGCAAAGCATTCGGATTTTTTTGGTCACATCCTTGATGATTGGTCGATTTTTGAGCCTTCTTCAAATTTCTATGTTTTCTTGACGTGTCCAATGCAGAATACTGAAAACTACAGAAATTAATATAAAGTTTACAAAAGTTGCCATTTTATCTGGCACGCTTTCTGACATATTACTATACCTGGCATGTCATATTATGTGTATATATATATATGATTATATATATATTATATATGTATCATTTTATGGTATTTTGATGTATATATTTTCGTCTGGTATTATGCTAGCGATAGTGTTCGGGTCTGGCGAGACCCATGCGAGGCCCAGCCAGGCTGCAGAGCTGGCGATGACGTTTGCAACTTGGCGACTTGGCGAGGAGGAGAGGAAGGAGAGGAAGGAGGAGAAAGATGAAGTACATAAAATCATATAAAATCATATAAAATCTAGAGACCCTAAACAATCCCTAAACTGGCAGGTTTAAAATGTTTAAAAAATATTCCAACATCTGGGAGCAAACTCTCAGAAAATATCAGAATATATCAGAATCATCTCTCTTCAATTGGTGTTAGAACTTGCCTGTCAAGGCCCAGACGGAAGTTGTCTAAAGCTGAGGGCGCGAGCGCACTTCTACGCTAAAAGCATCTGAGGGCAAACTTTAGAAACGTACAAACTTTGTACATATGGGGCAACCCTAACCCCCATTGCCCTACCTGAGTCGCATGGTACCTGATGTTGCCTGTTGCTGCACTGCATTTGGTGCAGGACATACAGGACCAAATGTGATCAAACATGGGCCTCGCTTCACCTGCATCCGAAGCCAGCCAGTGCTGCCATGTGTTGCCCAGTTTTCCTCGATGTCTAGACAAGTGAAGATGGAGCTCCTGAATCTCCTGACAGGTTCGTGTAGAATGCATGTGTACCATGTGAAGGGCATATGAGGAAAACACAAACAAAGAAAACAAATCAGTAAAGAACTGTCTAAAGTCTAAAGGTCAGTTGCATGTGAAGATGTGTCGTTACATCGTAGTATATGAGATGTAAAAGTCTGTACAAGCCTAATACTCACCAAAGTCGCCAGAGAAGCCAACCTTATGCAAACATGCGCAAACACTCTGACTCTCACGGTTCGCATTTCGGCCAGTATTTTTTGCATGAGGCACAAGCCTATCAAACGTTGTGGCAAGCCGCAACTTTTTATCAGAATGAGACACTGAAGGAAGGCTTTGGACGCTGAAGCCATCTTAAGCTTTGGCCCCTGAGAGCATGGACTTCGCTTGGTCCAGGGAATCCATTTCATCTGAACGAGCTGATTGCCTGGCATCAAACTGTTGCATGAGGGTGTCACACTGGTTGTGTAACTCCCCGGTGAACGTGGCGAGTTCCTCTAGCTCCGTCGTCAAACCCTCCTTAGCCTGACGTGCCTCCACCAAAGAAGCCTCAGTTGCACCCTTCTCCTCTTCTTTTGTTGTCATCTCTTTCTTCTTGGTCTCAATGGATGCAGTGGTTGTCTTGGCAAAGGCCTCGTAATCTTCTTGAGCAGAAGTCTCTGCATGGGTTGCCTCAACTTCCATAGCTTTTGCATCAGCAATGAGCTGCTGAAGCATACTGATGACACCAAAGCTGGAGGATTGCTCTTTGTAGTCCTTGAACTCAGGCTCACCTGCTTTGCTTTTCTTGGCTTGAATGAATGCAGGCGCCTTGACGTAGAACTTCTTCAAGGAAGCACTCGCTTCCTGCAAGAGCTTCTGGGTCTGCCGTTGCTCCACGACCACGCCCTGGAACTCCTTGTTTTCCTTCTCGCGGTTCTGGCCGGCCACTTGCGTTTGCTTGTTCATTTCGGCTACCTCGTCCTCCAGAGACTTGATGTCGGCACCGAGTTGTGCAACCTTGCTCTGGAGGGCTTCCAGCTCTGCCAGCTTCTGCTGTTCAGAGTGGGTCTTGTCCTGTGTCTCCAGTTTTGTTTTCTGCAGCTCATCGACACACCAATCCTTCTGCTCAACTTCAGCAGCCTGCTGCTTCTTCAGATCAGCCTTCATTTCATCAATGGCCTTCTTCACCTTCTCAAAGCTATCCAACTTCATGGTCAAGGCCAAGGTGGTCAGGCGGGAATCCAATTTCCTCCCAGCAGCAGCCAACACAGCTGCAGCACGGTCTTGGC